ACCACTAAGACAATGGCCTGGGACTACTTCTCTACTGGTGTGTGTGTGTGTGTGTGTGTGTGTGTGTGTGTGTGTGTGTGTGTAATGAATGCGTCTCCTCTGTAATGTAGAAATATGTTTACATGTGTCTCCCTTATGGTGGCAGCAGCAGGAGCTGTCTCTTAGGCTTCGCTCTCCCCAGCTGAAGAGGTGTTCTGCACTTCCTCCTCCAGGATGGGAACGATCAGGTTGTCCTTGGACATCAGGTTGTACTTCATCACGAAGCGTGTGAACCGGTGACACAGGAACGTTTCATTCTGCACACAGACATATGTAGCAATGATCACAGTAGCCAGTGTGTTACCAGTTCAGTGTTCTATAAGAGGCTGGAAACAGACCACGAGACTCCACTGCTGGAAATGTTTTATTCTAAAGCTGAACGGTGAGAGGCATTTGTGTGTTTCTACTTTATGGATTCAGAACACACTCCTGTCCTATGATCACGTTCCTCTTACTTTCTGAGAAATAAGCATATATGAACCTTAATCCTCATGATGGCAGAGAACAAAGCATGCTGCTATTTAGGGCTGGGCGGTATAAACTGTATACGCTAGAAGTTTGGTCCGTTTACAGCACCCTACCATGCAATTGCATTTGTCTTCCTGATAACTTATAACTCTACTCTAACTAAATTTAATAAATCCTGTTTTCATGGACGTCTGGATGTTAAACTTAATTGTTGCACCTGGTAAAGCAGCAACGCTGATCATTTTATTAAAGATGAAAGAATTTAGACAGTTTTTAACTCTCAGTGATGCCGCAGTGTTCGTTTGACTTTGGGACCTGAAGTTTTGGTTTTGGACCCAGATTACTCCGAGAGGCTCCTGACTACAGTAGCCGTAATGCTCCAGCAATCCATCAAGCTGTGTGGCTTCATAGCTTACCAAAGTCGGACTAAAACATTTTTGACAGATTTCTGAGCGCCATGTACCACATAAAATCGGTTTGCGGTCAGTAAGCACAACCAGAATTCATACATAAGGCGCGCTGTCGATTTTTGAGGAAATTAAAGGATTTGTAACTGCGCCTTATAGTGTGTAAAATACTTTATACAGAAGAATATATCGCGATATGTTGTTACCACACATGCTTCAAAGTATACCATGATATGGATTTTAGGCCATATCGCCCAGCCCTACTGCCATTGCTGCTGAATTCACTTCAAACACTTCATAAATAAATAAAGAATAATCAAACAGCTTATCACAAGTGATTTCTTTCTTTTTTTTTTTTTTTTTAACGACACTTGAACCTAACATTAGCTAGCATAATGTTAGCTTATAACCAGCTGTTCAGCTGGCTACAGCAGGGTCTCATGTTTCATCTTCTGACAAAAACTGTAACAATATTGTAATAAATAGGCATGTTTATGTACATTTTCTTATGTTGGAGCCGTGACTTGAGTTCAGGAGATAAGGTGGAAATAAGGGAGGACACAGCAGTGGTGGGTGAGGCAGATGAAGTAGGAGGAGAACTGTGATTAAAAAAAGACAAATGTGCAAATCTTAAATCTTCACTTACAGTTTCAGAGTTGTGATTTGGACATGTCGACAAATAATTGAAAAGAAAAACTCAAAATAACCCTCCTTGGATGGGATGCCCTACTGATGGTAACTAGTTGACACATCATTCAAATTCTTCTTTCCTTAGACATTATGGACTTGTATAAATAGTCTTTTGTTAAGCTATTGTGAACAAACTGCTTATATCCCACGCAGCAGCTAGCTGGCTAACATTAACGTGCTTGCTCACCAGTGTCACCATTAAAAGGCTAAAAGTTTGATTTGATGCACTGACGTGGAGTCTGTGTGTAGTTTGCTGCCACCGAGCACAGTGGAGGTAAAGCACTGAGTGATTGTTCGTAAGCATCATTTAGATTTCTGCAGAGAACTGATCCACAGTTTATTGTGTGAAGTCACTCAAAGATGGGGAACGCCTCACTTTTTCCAATTTTTGTTACAATCAATTTAGCAATTGAAATGGAAATGAAATGGGGAAAAATTAACTTGAGCAGAGCACATTTACTTAAAACCAATGATGAACACACTAAAAATACAAGAGAGACTATATGAAGACTATAACAGTCTTTATGACCTCTTCAAGTTTGATTTCTGTAACAGCAAAAAGAAAAAACAAATCCATATACCAGGAAGGAACAAATAAAATCACATTTTAGAATTTCTAGCTTGACAGCAACAACCAGAGAGCGATGGGAAGCAAAGGTTGTAAACGCCTACCTCATACTTGTCAAATATCTGGCGATGATGGAAGTAAGCATGAGAGAATATCCTATAGATACGACGACAAACAGAGCCCAGCTTGGCCACTGATGACTCCTTGATGCTCACCCTGTAGACACAAACCAGTGGTGATTTAGCTTGTGCACTGGGAGCATCACAGCATGGGTTTCCATAGCTGAGCAGCTGCTGGTGAAATGTATAGGTGCCCCATTACTTTGTCCATACAAATCCAACTTCATCTAAGGCACTGTAATAAATGTGCTTTAGCCTGTCTACAGTGTGTGCACATGCAAGCCACTTTACAACCCACTACCACTCCACCTCCAACACTTTATTCCGTCTCTCATGTAATCAAGTCAAGTCTGTGGTGGCTGATGCCTGTCAAACAGCAATTTAAAGTAATACAGTTGTGCATAACTTTTAATAAAATACTGGCAACCACCAGCACTACCCCACGGCTTCCTAGCAGACACACCTATGGTATGAATTTGAAAAATCCTACATCCCCCCCTCGTTCTCAAGTTGTCACATTCACAAGGGTTTTTAGAGAACTTGACCTCTGACCTTTAGATCGAGGTCACATTTTTTAAATCATCCGAGATTTTTTAGTAGAAGCACCTATTGGAGTCAATTTGAAGCTTGAAGAGTACTTTTGGAGCTTGGATACTGAAATCGGATGCCTGCTGAAAATGATGCCTCAAGAGTATTAAGAGTGAACAGAAACAGTCTGGTTATTCAGCTTAGCAGCTAAACAATGACCTGAAATTGATTTGATACTATTCTATAAATTATAGCTGCTTAATGGAAAACGACTGACCTGCTGGGGAAGTATTTGTTGCTATTAAGAAGGCAGGCAGCTCCGTCCAGCGTGTGCCTGGTGTAATCGATGGCAGGGCACTGTGGAAGCAGCAGCATCACAAAACAAACACAAACCCATCAATGTGAGAGCAGCTGCTTGAAAAGCTTGAGTGACAGCTGGAAGCTTTGACTCACTTCTTTGGGTGTCTTGTGGGCAGCACATAAAAAGATCCACTGCTCCGTGGCTGTCATCTGGGTGCAGGTGTCTGGATGGCACTCACTCTGTAGGCAGAAACACCAAAATCACTGCAGCTAACAGTCTCTTACCAAACCAACTACTTGATGTTCCTGAACCGTTCTGCACTAGAGAGAAATATTCCTGGTTTACAAAGAGTAGCAAGCCTACATGCTGCTGACTTATGTGTCAATGACCATTTTTACAGACTGCACTATTTTTTTAAACCTTAAATGAGGCCTGATTCGGGATCTATAGAGGATTAAGGCGAATTTCTAGGGGCGAAAGAATGCTCAAACCCCAAAATTACCAAAGGAAGTTTGTGGTGATTTAGTGTACTCACCTGCAGTTTCACAGCTAGCCCGTTGAGCTCCAGGCAGAACTGCCTACAAAAGGATCCAATAAAAGCAGAGTTAAAACAAAATATCCTCTGATCACATGATTTTTTCTTCTGCAGCCAGGTTTTAGCCCAACTGTGAGCACAAGATTTAAGCAAGTAGAGATCGCCTATACTTCACTTTCTTTTTATCTGAAAGCTCCTCATATCTGAACAAAGAACTGGTTCAAAGAATCTCTAGAAACGGCACTGGTCTACATATTCAACTTAATTTAATAATTTCTTCAGAGATGTTACTAAAAACTGATTGCACGCAGTAGAAATAAGCACAGGACCGAACACAGAACTAATGAAGCCTACAAAACATTTCATTTTAGAAGCAAAAAGTACAGTATATATTTGCTATACTGTGTAGCAGCTGCCAGAATATAAAAGGACATTTTATAAATGCTTGTCTGCAGCTCTGATCCTGTTTAGAAATATGTGACCCAAGACTTCTTACCTGAGGTGCTCATACTTCCACACGCCCTCATCCTGACCCTCAGGAGGTTCCAGGATTTTGTCGATATTGGAGCAGTCTGATCGGATGTTCTGCTGAATATACTGACACAGAGAAAACACACACATTAGTACAGACTGTCACTTACAGTCCAGTCTGACTTTCATCACCTGACACATGATGAACACACAGTGAATGTGTTCATACATCACGAAAGGCCAACGACAATGCGAACAGTGCCGCACCAAACCAATAATGTGTTTGGAATAAAGTCAGAGCCGCACCAGGTAGGCTGACACACACGGCAGAGAGCAGCACATGTGTAAATGTTTGGGCAACTGTCAGCCACACCAGTACGTTAGGAGTGAGTCAGATGGAAAAAAAGAAAATAACAACAGAAATGTTGAGAAAAACTTGAGTGACAACATTATTAAAAACAAGATGTCACAACAAGCACAGCTCATAATCCAAAGCTCACAGTGCTAACCCTACTGCTTAAAAGAAGGCACAGAGGAATTTGGAGAGATTTTGGTTACTTAAAGTCAGAAAAAGCAGCAAACACTGCAAACTGTCTCAAAATCATGTTCCGACAAAGGCATGTAAAGACAACACATGATGCCTGCAAGCACAGTCAAAAATGTCAAATTTAACTGGCTGATTAAAGTCACTGACCCTCAGTTCAATGTTTTTCTGTGTCAGGACTTCATTTGGTTTCACCTAGAGAGCTCTTTGGTTAAAAGTTTGGTTTTAAATTCTACTATACATATAAACTCACTTCACTAGGTTGAGTGTGAAATCCCCCCACAGTTTTTTAAACCTTTAACAACATTTACACTGACTGAATATAGAGCTCAGGATTGTGACATCAATAATGTAATGCATAATGGGATTGTTTTTCAAGCAAGTTCGAGTTGATAATGGAATATATAAACGTTTTAAAACATTTAAAACGTTTAAAACGTTTTAAAATGACAAAACAGCACATGTGACTAGAATGGAAACCCTTTTCCAGACAGGAAGCAGCAACAAGGAGCTTGGCTTGGGTAGCAGTTGGAAGAAGGAAACGTATCACCTTCAACAACATTTTGAAAAATATGTTAGTGTGATCACAGGAATTTCATACCACAAAGTTATAATTACACTATATTTAACTGTTGTGGTTAAATGCTGTAGGGCTGTTGCTATGCTACACACCCTAGGTGTGTCAGTTATCTGGGTTGTAGCTACCTGGCAGCATAGCTGGAATCAAAGAAAGTCTTCATGCTTTGATTTTGAAAAACAGATTCTGCGATAGTGTGATCGTGGCCGGGCTACGAAAGTGAACACACAGAAGTCAAGGTGGATACTGCTGACTGGTATCAATGGAGAACAAAAAAAGCTCCTGCAGCTGGTGCTACACCACAGCACAAAATGTTGCAATGACACGACCTGCCATAATAAAAGCCAAAACTGCTATGCATCTGAATGACTCATTCTTCAGACTCACAGTACAGTTTAGTTAAAGTACGTAGTAAACATAAGGTTATTATTACAGTGCAACATTAAATTCATTAGCCCGTTTTCCTCCCTAATGCTTGCTAGGATCTAACTTTGTTTTGTTTATGTGAACAACATGGTGCCTATCAACATGCTTTGAGATTTCCGAGCTCTATGTAGTCAAATTCTTGTCTAATTTGAGCAACTTTAAGCTCAAGCGATAAGACAGCAGCACCAGACAGTCTAAAATTGAGTGGGGAACACACCCACACACAAACACACACATGAAATGTCAACCCACCTGTTGGACAGCCAGGGTGCTGTCCATCTCCTCAAATGATTCATCTGGCCAGTTGTAGAAATCCTGCACAATGAAGAAGGACAGTATTAGTGTGCACTCAGTGTTTGGAATGTATCGCCAGTTATCCAAAAGCTAGTCTATATAATGTGACTGTCATCTGACGTAAAGTGAAAAGAAATTGCCAATCCTGGCAGTTTATAAATCATATATGACACACACGGAGAGGGGGGTAACGGGATGACAAACTGTCGGTGACAGGTGAAGTTTTTCGGAGGGTAAAACGTTAGTACCTAAGTTAACAGCCATAGTTTTCCTACATTACTCTGAGCTCCGAAGGCAGATAGCTAGCTACATAGTTATGTATCGTCTATTGGGATATGACTATTTCCTGCAAAGCTCCGGCGAAATTAACAATTTTTCTCGGACGCGTGGATCGAGGTATGTGTAAAAATGTATCATCAAACTGGCGTAGGAATTATTCAAGCCGAACACTTATTCAGAACAGGGAAAGCAGGACCAAGAGTCGCTAACATTACTCCAGGAACTAGACGGAGCAACCGCTAATCTTAGCTAGCTGGCTATTTCCAGGTCAGGCCCTTCCTATACGCTGTCTGCGACAAAGTTGTCGCGAAAATGAGGACGATAATGCTGTACAGCACCACAGACGCAGCTTCTCCCAGCCGCGGAGAGGGTTCTTGTACTCATGCTGGAGTGGTTCTACAGACCACAACTCACCTTCGCCTTGGTTCCAGGCCGATTCCTCCTGAGAACTGCAGTACCCTCCGCCATGACCATCTCGACAGAATACCCGGATGTTCGTCAGCCGCGGTGTTGTAGCTGCTGAGCGGATACGGTAACACAAAGAGGCTCAAACTTCATTCTTATGTAAGGAGACCCGTATCAGTGATAGGGCACTCTTCTTTAGCCAATATGCAGGGGGTTCGCATACCTGCAAAGTGCCAATGAGAAAGACACAGACCAACCTGACAAACACCAAAAACAGTGTTTAATGTTTTTACAGCTACGCATGAAATCGGGGTGTACTGTCTCAAAGTCTGAATTATAAGGAAACCCAGCTTACTCACTTTGTCTACAAAGAGAGGCGCTGTGATTTAGTTAGGAATCTGTAGTTTTTCGTTTTACTGTATGTTTTTCTGTGTCATGGGTTCCTTAGTTACAGGCTCAAGTGGGATTTGGCTGGTTGGGGAACCTTAAAATCGGATTTAGTAACGCTGAGAAAAGAATTCCTTAGAAATAAATAATTTGTTTTGATCAGCTGATCTGTGCTGCTCCTTCCACATGCACTGCTCGTTGTGGGTTTAGTCATATGCATTTAAGATATAAGCAGGTATTTCAGGGTGCATGTGGCTGATTTCCCAACCCAAACACACTTGAAAGTTAGAATAAAAGTGAGAATTTAGTGGGTGAATCTAATAGATAACCTTAAATATAGATTGATATCTGCTACCCTTGCTATAACCTAGTATTAACCATGAACAACTGTCTGCTCTGTACCAGTCTTATACTTTACTACAAACTAACCAGTTTTGCCTGAAGTTCAAATGAGTCAAAAATGAATATACTTCTGGTTTGCATTATTTTCCACAAAACCACATTCATCAGTACATTATGTATAAGTTTGATATTTGATTTAAAAACATTAATTAGAACAGTATTGTTCCACTTTAGCAGATGTAACTTATTGTGCAGTCCTTACTTTTGAACATAATTTCTCATTTCCCTTTCAGCTACGCAAATCTTTCTCCATCTCTCAGCGTCGCACATTGTTTCGTTTTTGTTTCTTCTCTGCTTTGAAAATACAGAAACTTTACATCATTCCTTGTTCCAGCCCACGTTAACCCTATGGATGTTATACTACTAAATGCTGTGGTTTTACTGTGATTTCAAAGGTTTAAAGCAATCACTTGAAGTGCAGCAACACCATCTGAAACTACAACACCCTCTGCCAACCTAAAACTACAGCAAAACCAAAACAGCTAAAAGTTATAGCAGCACCTTTTGTGTTTAGCTTTTTCTGTGCTTGCATTTTTTTCTTTATGTGAACAAAAGCCTATGAAACTTTCCTTCTGCCAAGATTACACAAGTATCACACAGTTTCAGGTGGAGGTGTGTCAAAGGAAAAGCCCAACAATGAGTCTTCACTTTTATTATTGTAACAAAACATGATTAGAATTATTTACAGGAACAAAGAAGAAAGAAAGAAAAAAAAAAAAAGAAAAAAAAGACAGACATGAATGAACTTAATTTCTTCTCTCTGAGGATGTCAGGGACTTTACATGAGGATTGGCGACTCATTCAACATATTTACCGAGGATATCTGCATCACGGAACAGGAAATAGTCCTATGGGAGAAAAGACAAGAAAAAATTTAACTAATTTCAGCACAAAAGTGTGGACGGAGTCTGAGGAAACTGTACCGCACCTTGTCATCCAAAATGACTTTAGTCCCACCGTACTCTGGTAGGAGAACCTTCTCCCCAACCTTAACGCTCACTGGATGGATTTCTCCCTTCTGAAAGAAGGAGAAAAACATGTTAGGCATGAAGTAACACCACAGTTGTTACTGAGTCTTTTATATTTGAAAATCAATAAAGATCTGTATTTTTGTTTCACCCTATAATTTACAAGAAAATACAGTCATGTAGTGGATGGTCACATGACACGTAGCTTCCCTGATCCTAACAGCTTTTTAAAGGGCAGATGACTGAGGATCTGTGCTTCAGCAGGAGTCCTGTTCACTACTGTGTATTTAGAGATACATTTTTACTGCAGTTTTCAAATGCATCATTGAGAGAAAAATCCTAGGTTAGGTTAGATCAAGTCTGAAGGTCAACCAGACACTGACTATGTTAGCAGTGCTAACCCAATTCTGTAACCAGGGTTTAGGAAATAGTAAAGTGCAGATTTTATTCTCTTAATGCATCATATTTAAAGGTGCAGCACCTTCAGAAAACTAAAACCAGAAATTCTAAAAACTATAACAGACATCATTTTGAACAGTTTTGCTTTTGCAGGAGCAACTGTGTATACAGAAAAAAAGAGTCGTGCGCATAAAAAGAATTATGCGCAGTGTGTCTAAAACACACTGCTGCATCAGCCTAACCCTTTAAAGCAGGGGTGGGTTACTCCAGGGCTCAAGGATCAGGGTCCTGCAGGTTTTAGATGCGTCCTTGATCCAACGCAGCTGATTCAAATGGCTAAATGACCTTAACAATTCTCGTACTTCTCCAGAGGCCTGGTAGTGAACTAATTTGACTCAGGTATGTTGACCCAGGGTGAGATCTAAAACCTGCAGGACACCAGCCCTCGAGGCCTGGAGTTGTCCACCCCTGCTTTAAACCCAATCAGGGACACTGAAGGATAAGCAATAACTATAATATTGGAATCTTTTCAAAGTAAAACCCATCTCAAGCATGGTATACTGATTCATAACCGTTTTGTTTTGGAGGGGAATAAAGTTTCTGTTTAAGAGTTCTTAATTTAATTATTGTTTTTATTAACGGTATTGTGAATTGTGAGATTTTCATGTAGTTTAATACCAACTGCTAAAACAAGCTTTAATTTATAAAATAAAACAAAAACCATACACTCTTCTTGTAGCAGCTATGCCATGTATGCTTACCTGGGTGACAGAGCCAGGTCCGACTGCCACCACTGTAGCCTGCAGCACTTTGCCTTGAGACTTCTCTGGCAGCATGATGCCCCCCTTTGTTACCGTCTCTGCTGTGAAGCGCTCCACAAGCACCCGGTCAAACAGAGGAAGGAATTTTCTGAAAGCCTGGAGACCACACAAAGACAGCACATATTAGCACGACTATCACACTATGTTTAGGTGAACTGGGCAGCTAATGATTCATCATTAGAAATAAAAGTTGGAGGAAAAGAAAAATCCTACAAATTTGACTCCAAACGTTTATATTGGCTCTCTTGTGTAACACGCCCCACTCCCCTGACTTATGTGTTATGCACCATCTGTACACACACACTGATTTGCTGCAAAGGTTTTAAAATGTGAACATTAACTAGATTCAGTGCTTCACATGCTTACAGTTAAGTCAAGCTGTAAGTTAATACAGAAACGTGCTGGTTATAATGCATGAGTGAATAATAAGCTGCGGGGTTTGAGTTGAAGAAATAGGGTGGAGGTCAGCGACAGAGGCAGCCTTTGTCAATCAGTTTCCGCTAAACTGAAAATTAACTTTTCCTCATTTATCTACTTGAGTCTGAAATCACGAGGGAGGACAGCAGCTGTGCAGCCTTTCAGAGAGACACTGATCAACTTTTTTCTGTCACGACTTTAAGGACAACATTTGTTTAAAAGCAACTGCATGAGTGACCTTCAGTAAAGGTCATCTGTGACTGTGATGGAGGAGGGTGATGGAGTGGGACTGGTCCCAGTTTGATAAGTAGGGAAAGGAGGCGGAGCTTCCACACTATGTCTGAGGGGTCCAGGCCAAGGACTCTTCACCTCTCCACTGATAAAACAAACTAACCAACATCAATCAGCCCTGAGCCTGGATCAAACATCCTCCTGCTCACTGGTACCAGATAAAATCCAAGGCCAGACGAAGCAGTTTTCACAAAGTTCTTAACAAGTTGCATAAGCTCATTATGATTAGCCCCACATTTCTGTCAGATGCACCAACTTTTCTCCTTATACTTTAGCCACTGATAGTGTTTTGATTGGCTTATGACCTGACAAGAAAACCAGATGTATACTAGACATCTACATTTAAATTGAGTATCAAGCTAGTTGAGGATCTAGTTTTGGCAGACATGGTTTCTAATTAAACAAGGGTTCAAAAGAACTACCCACCTAAGTGTCTCATAACATTTCAAGATGGCTGACCAGTGGCAAGACTCAATTCTAGTAGTAACCTGTTCTATACAATGAGTACTTTTGATTTCGTACATTTTTAAATATTAGCATTACCTTTACTTGTGACAATGTTTCTACACAGGGGTGATGCAACTTTTCCAAAGCAAATGTGTACAGACAAGTATAACTCCCTCTACACTGATAAGCCTTTAAAGAGATTTACTGCAGTAAAAATCACTCAATTTTCCTCAAATGCGGTGGATAAAGTACTTGAGTACCTCATTTGTCCTGAATGCAATCTGAGTGCATGCTGCTGTAAAAACTACTTTCAAGCAAACGAAACTTCCGCTGCTCCTGACTCAGAGGCTATGATGTCAGTAGTAGTTCAGCAGGAACAATGGGACTGCATGTCGCTCCTCACTAAATCTCATGCCTGGAGGTTTGTGCCCTTGAGCTTGACGGTAAACGCAAACTTGCTGCACCTTGTGTGTGTGTGCGTGAATGAATGAATGAATGAATGGCTACACTAAGTGCAATTACTTACCTTTTTACTTCAGCTAACAGTGCGCTCATAGCTGTACTTGTATACAGGTCTTATGATCCCTCATCTAGTTTTAGGCTTTGTGACTTGCCATTAAGACAGACGTGCATTTGTTTAAGCTCATTCTTAGCTCCCTTGCAACGTGACCTTGTCACTGATGTTCACTTTAGCTAACATGCGGCTAAGAATAACTAAAAGCTGGTCAGTTTATTTAAACCGTCTACTGACTGCGTCCCCTATATCAAAGAACTCGGCGGTGATTGACGCTCGTTTTTTGTTCGCCTTTATTAAATTAACCAGGCACCTTACCATTTCTGGACGTGTGTGAGGTCTGAGAGCCGGCGTGAATCTGCACCCCGAATCCTTGGTGAGCGTGAATATGGTACGCTGAAGGATATCTACACGTGAAGAAATATCCAGAATACGCATGCGCACTAACCTGCCCTGAACTCGTCAGGCGCAAGGGAAAGTTCTAGTACACCCAAGGCCAACATCAAAATATTTTTTTAAAAGCTCACACATTATTTAATAAAAGCAAAACATGTACGGGACATTTTCTAAAACTGCTTTAGTGACTTTTCTGTCTTTGAAACACTCCGAGCTGAGGCAACGTTGCACAATGTCAACTTTGACCCTTTTTTTTTCCGCCAATGGCACGCCAGAAAATTCTGGAACCGTTTGCCCAGGAACGAGCATTAATTTATAATTCTACATATTTCTATCCTAATTAGCCTATTTTACACACTGTTTTGACTTTATTTTATCGAGAACTATAATTCAAGTAATCGTGTGCCCGCACGTCATTATGAATTTTAAAAGAAGAGCACTTTTATTAGGTAGTTATGGTTTATACACAGTCTGGGCGGGCCGGTACATAACCCGGATGTGCTAGGCCATGTGCAGTTCTGTCTCCGTTACTCCACACGACTGTTCTCTCCTCCAGTCGTTATATCATTCCGTCTTGCAGACCGGCTAGCAGCAAGCCTTTACCTCAACTCACAGGTAAGTGTGGACACTGCTGCAAGTGTCTGAAGCTACTCAGTTTACGTTACAGCCCGTATACTCGCGAATAGCGCTAGCTTTTATGTAGAGTACATTCTGCGCATGCTGCTCAGGAGGCTCGAGTTTGATAGCTCCGCGCTAACATATTTCTTCCCCTTCTAACTGCAAGGACACACGAGTGTGACTACAGACTTTAACCGACAGGCTAGCTGTCTCTGTGCTCTCTGTGCAAGTGTATTGTCTCGACTGTTAAATGTGCTTTGCTCGTGTGGAGTAAGAGGGAGATAGCGAGTGATTAAAAGCAGTTAAAACCTCGCAGTGAGACCGTGTATGAGCTGAGCAGGGATGGAGAAAGCACTTCCACACGTGCTTTCACAAATTTGACCTTGTGACGCACGACCTGAAGAGCGCACGCGTGGGGTGGACGTTTCTTAATCCAGTCACGGTCAATGCGCATAAAATTAACAGTCAAGAGACTGAAGCATTTAGAACATCTTTTAGTCAATTATCACATATTTTGAAGTAGTTACACTTAATTGATTTTTTTTATATTCATCTGCACTGAATTTACTATGGTTACTGGTCGCTCAGTAGCTTAAATACAGCTTAACCTCAAGTAATTACAACAAGAATGGGGATAAAGTCGCGGGGGTGGCGTTGTACACGACTTTTAAAAACATGGATTATCTGGGGTTACAATCCTGTGGTCCTAAGACCTTAATAACAATCCATGGTTGTAAACCCCATTTAAAAATCGCCGATAACCGACAAGGGGCTCTTGCATACTACTGCTGCACAGTTTAAACTCGTAATAGCTTGTTGTTCTTGCAGTACCCAACAATTTACAATTTCTACTTTTTGATAATTGGTATGTTACTCAATGATTAAAAGATGGTCATTATTCGCTAAGCAGGTGTGATCTGGCTGACTGAAGTCACTGACAGGTTTTCCTAACTGGTCTTAACAGGTTGGCTCTGGGGCTACCTTATCATTTTTACTAACCCCTTAATGAATGTTAAAGAATGTTCCAGGCTCTTTCTTTGGTTTGTTCGTTTGTTACAAGGACATTACACTGCTACTGTTCTATCAAAATTTTAATTGAATATCCTCATATGTGGCTGTCATTTTTCTTAGAAACAAAAATCAGGTGTTTAAAAAAATATAAAAATCTGGTTATTCTTTGTTTTTACATTCATCGGGCCCCCAATATGTCCAAATATCAAAGAGAAATTAAAAATGCATGCCGTGGAAGAGTTCAGGTCTTAGGAGGTTAATGAAATATCTTCCAGTTTCAACCACTTAATTGACACATTTTCAGATATTCTGGCTGTCAGATTGTGTTGTTCAACTATTAATAAAATGTATTCAGCTGCACCTCTCTTTACTTTTAATGTGTAGGTAGGCAGGCCAAAACCAGTATTGGTAACACTTAAAACCATTAAACTTGCAGATTAATGATAAGTCCAGGGGACTCTGCCCCCTTGTTTAGTACAACTGGAGATGTTCCTTTATTCATTCATTCACAAGTCTCATGTCATGCCGTCTGCGGCCACTAGGGGTGTACTTATTACATATGCGAAGAAATGTAATTAATTAAACTTTGGGAACTTGGAGTCATCATTATGGCCTAACCTGTGTTTTCCTCCCACAGACATGTTTCGTTTAGCCACAGTCATGAGGCAGGTGAGGCCTGTGAGCCGTGCGCTGGCTCCCCACCTCACACGTGCCTACGCCAAGGATGTGAAGTTTGGGGCTGACGCTCGTGCCCTCATGCTGCAGGGAGTGGACCTGCTGGCTGATGCCGTGGCTGTCACCATGGGCCCAAAGGTAACTCCCCCTTTGATTTTTTTTTTTTTTTTCTTTTCTTGCATATTAGACCAGTTTTCTAGGAGACTGTACAGAAAGATCCTTGATATCTTACACTGAGTGTTGGTGTAGGCCAGGGGTCAGCAACCTTTAAGACCCAAAGAGCCATTTGGAGCCGGTTTCCACACAAAAGAAAACACTGGGAGCCACTAATACGTTTTGACATCTAAAATGAAGATAACACTGTATATATTGTTTTTTACCTTGTGCTTTGTGTGAACAACTAAGGTGTGTTGCTTATGAAATCCATGAAGTGCTACAGAGAAAATCACATTTTATTCATGTAATTAACACATTTTGAACTCTTAAAGAAATATAACAAAAGGAAAGACACCTAGCTGAACTAAAATGATCCATGTAGCAAACAACTACAGAACTACAAGTTAAAAAAAGAACTAACAAAAATAAATAATAAGCAATACACTTCAGCTAAATGCTTCTAATTTATTTTCCCAAACCACGCGGAGCCGCAGTATAAGGACTAAAGAGGTTGCCGACCCCTGGTATAGGCTTTCAGCTCCTGGTCTTGCATTGGGCCAACTTTACTGAGTGGTTGGCACTAATAAATACAGATATTTGAACAAAAGGTGGGCAGAACTGGGGCTCTTACAGCTAGATATTTGTACACTTTGACTTGATGCCACAAAGGGGTACCCTGCCCTCCACAGGCAGAGAAGGGAAATCACTGAATTTCTTGCCAAAAGCAGGTTTAATTTCAGCAAAGAATTGAGATGTATTTGGACTAATGAAGCAGATATGCTAGCCTAAGTCCTTCATCAGCCAAGTGTTAAACAAAATGCATTAATCATTATGCTAAATGCCTCTTGCAATGCAACAAATGGCATCGACTTAAGAAAATACTGGAGATGAAAGTGATTATTTGTCTTTCTGAAACATATGTGCAGAACTTTTCATCTCACAACTTTCTGGCTCGTTTCAGGGTCGCACTGTCATCATCGAGCAGAGCTGGGGCAGTCCAAAGGTCACCAAGGATGGCGTGACGGTGGCAAAGAGCATTGATCTGAAGGACAAGTACAAGAACATTGGTGCCAAGCTGGTGCAGGATGTGGCCAACAACACCAACGAGGAGGCCGGCGACGGCACGACCACCGCCACTGTACTGGCTCGAGCCATCGCCAAGGAAGGTTTCGACAACATCAGCAAAGGTGCGAACCCCGTGGAGATTCGCCGAGGTGTCATGATGGCTGTAGAAACCATCATCAACGAGCTGAAGAACCTTTCAAAGCCCGTCACAACCCCCGAGGAGATCGCACAGGTATGGTAATGTTTCTGCTGTCTCCATGGGGCCTCTGGCATTTGGGATTTGAGCTTTAATTATGAGTCTGCTCTTTCAGGTTGCTACAATCTCAGCCAATGGAGATGTGGAGATTGGCAACATCATTTCTAATGCCATGAAGAAAGTTGGCCGTAAGGGAGTCATCACCGTCAAGGTTGGTTTCAGAGATTTCCTCCTGCTGGAGAAAAACTCATTTACTCGTCCAATGAACATTTACTGTCTGATTTTTGCGGACAGCCTGTAAATGTTTGGTTCAATTTGCCAGGATGGGAAGACTCTGCATGATGAGCTGGAGATCATTGAGGGTATGAAGTTTGACCGTGGGTACATCTCCCCTTACTTCATCAACACTGCCAAAGGTAAGGCTGCTGAACAGGTTTCAGCTGTGCATTACTACTCGCTCAAAGTTTTAACTGATAAACCGGTGCTGTGCACTCATTATAAAATGACCAGTTAGTGTAAAAGGCTTGTAAGAGTCCCACTGTCCTCCTACAGGAGCACAACAAACAAACCGTATCTAAACTATTTATCCTCTTTAGTTGTTGCCATTTATCTCTTTGTAGCTGCCTGACTAGAATGTCCAGCATAACATGTTAGTATCTTAAATTTTTATTTTATAGGTTTTGTCTGAATCTGTGTTAGACACTTTGTAAATGTGTTATTTCATGTAATATTGGTTTGCACCACCAGGTGGTGCAGTGAGCCCAGACAAGGCATTTGTATTCAGTGGTGACTTGGAAAATAGGCAAAGTCCATTGAGGTAATGGGGTTAGGGCTAAGTAAAGCGTCTAAAGTTCAACAGCAGTGTGCTTCCAAAAACATCTCAACACACTGACTTGTTAAGTGCTGCCCCCTGCTGGAGAAAGTGTATGCTTTGCAGAAGGTATTTGGAAATAACGCATTGATAATCAGGGAAAGGGCAAGCAGCCCAGAAGATCATCTGACAGTGTTTTAAACACAAGTCATTATCTGTAATTAGGGATGGGTATCGTTTAGGTTTTATCCGATACCGGTGCCAAACCGGTACTTTTGAAACGGTGCCGGTGCTCAAACCGGTGCTTAAAGAATGGAGAACACAAAATTGGTCCAAAAACCTCTCATGTTCAGCTGTTTTTTTTTTTTGTAAAAAGATAACAATGTTAGCCTTTTCTGCAGGTATGGGGCATATATGGTATCACTCTTGGCTGGAAGCAGTGCTTGAACAATGGAAAAAAACACAAACTTTGTCCAAAAACCTCTCATGTTTAACTGTTTCCCACAAGACAGCTGCATGTAACTACCA